GTCCACGTATTGTCATCGTTAATAATAATGTGAGGGTAAACGTGTTTGCTTGTGAGACACGTTCCACGATTCTGTAGACTCAGAGTGATTTATAGAGAACGGCATAACAGTTTTCTGTCGGGTCGTTGTCGGATTTAGTAAGCCGACTGTACGGCGCAAAAATACGCGAGTTTCGCAAGCAACGAAAGAGAGAGAGAGAGAGAGAGAGAGAGAGAGAGAGAAACAAAAGCAACGAAAGGCATTTCGAATGCGCGAAGCGCAAGGTAACGTTACCATTCTGGAGTTAATACTGGTGTTAGTCGCGGCACGGGAATGCTTTATTCCTCGGCAAATCCCCGCGTGCGCGCGCTCGAGAACGCGTCGCGTCGGCTTCGCCGACGGTTTATAACCAGCCGGCAGGTCGGACCGGCTCGTAAAGAGAAGCCGAGGCGGAACATTACGCGCCGCGCACACAATATCCTCGGCGCGTATCTCATTGCACGCGTATCAGATTGGCGCGGATGGCCGCCGCGGCGCATCGTATCGCGCCGCGCCGCCCGCGCGAGTGATTGCCGTTTCTGTATGTTAAAAGGAAAAGAATAAGGGCCCCGTGCCGATATATCCAACGGCATATTACTCCGATATATTACTCTGACAAAACGGATATATATACACGAGAGACCTCGATATCTCCTTTGCACTTAAAAAACGATAAAGTACGTATATAACGTACGTATATAATCAATCATACATTCGATGATATCGCACAAACTAATAAAAGGCATAATTTGTTATTTTGTATTTTGATTAATTAATGGCAGTTTATTCTGTTAATTTAATACCTGATCCGCGCAATTCGGATCGGAAATATTTTTAAGAAATACTTGAGTAACGTAATTACTTGAAGAAATATTTATTTTCTTTCGCGATACTTTAAACATAAATCAAAATCAAGGGGAAATATTGTTTTAGTGAATGTAGTGATATTATTACACAGTAAAAAATGTTTCGTATTTGTATTAAAAATGAATCCAAAAACGAATCCTTTGCAAAATTTGTGTTAAATTTTTAACACATTCGAGTATTAATTTAACATAACGTGATTGTTATTTAAATATTTTTTTCACATATTTATTTCTTAGTATCAAAATCACACAATTTATGAGTGAATCAAAAAACAAAAATAAGATATTTTAAAATAAATTTTAAAATGAATGAATGAGTATGTATTAATTTAACATATCATAAATAATTAATTTAATTTTGCTGAAAAAAATATATATTTCACAATTTGCTTATAAATATTATCATTATTACATTGTCATATTTTTTTGTATTAATTTTTTCTTGTGTTAAATTAACATAAAAATATGAATGAATATTTAAGACACACGTGTGTTAAATTTAATACAAATTTTCTAACTGTGTGATAAACAATTAAATTAAAATAGGTTGATATTTTAATAGATTAAAACATTAATTTAAATAATTAATATTTTAATATTATAAATATCTTATTTGAATAATGCTATTACTTGCTCAAGTAATATGATTTTATAATATCAAAATATTAATTATCCAGAGCAATATTTTAATTTATTAATTTACATATATATTATTCAATACCTATTAAAACAATATGTCTCATTGATTTTTGTGCATAAAGTATCGCGAGAGAAAAATAAATATTTCTTATTTTTACAATTCCACGCAAACTTTGCTATACACAAAATTAGAATGCAGAGTTTATTGGAAAACGTGCCAATTATGAGCTACAAAATAATATATGTTTAATCAGTCATCCTGTGTAAACTTTTTTAACCAATAAAAATCGCTTGAACCTTCTAAATTCAAAACTATGAATCGCCAAGAGAATTTAACAATGTAAATTGCCATACACTTGAGTTTGCTATACACTTTTATCTCTCGTGTACAATAATATGCGCGATAAAAGAGATTGTATTTTTCAATATGCGAAAGAACGGCGAACGCGAGTTTCGTTTCTCTTTCAAGTATAAACTTTACACGTTGCAGAAGTTTATTCAAAAAGGTATCTTCCTTATTCTCAATGTAGAATTCCCGAGACACCGGAGCGCGCGTGCACGCGTGAAGTGCCGCTCCCACGCAGCCGGACGGCCGACACGCGTGAGTAACCTACCTACGCAACGTATTTCGCTCGCGAGTCGCGATGCGAGTGCGAGCGCGTGCGAGCGAAGCGAGCACAAGCTCCGCCTTGAATGAATCCTCGTCGTCGCCTCGAGCGAGACTCGTGCGTCGTCTACATACATACAAGGTGCATACGCGTGTCTGTGCGTGCATGCGTACGTGCGTGCGTCGCTACATGCTCGAACGCAGCGTTCAGACGCGCGTCGCGCGAACGCTGATGGAGGACTATTAACGCCGAATGGTGATTATTTCGCCGTTATTTCGTTATTTCGTTATTGTGCGAATCACGTTTTATTGAAGGGATCTCCACTCTATTATCCCGAGTATTTTCCATTCGACATTTCCGCCCGAGTATCGTCGGCATCGATATCAAAGGTGAAATGCCGGCGCCAAGAATATACCGAGCCTCACAACAGAAAATCAAACGACATGCGGAAAGTATGCCGGAAATTTATTCGCGCGTCTCGGATAGATATCGCGAATAACTATACACACACACACACACACACACACACACATATATTATTTATATATATATATATATATATATATATATATATATTTCCCAGGCTAGATGCAAGCGAGGCGTATCGATACCTCTCTCGTTGATATCGATCACCGTATTCCCACGTTTATTCTCCCTCCGTTTCTTATATCGTGTTTTACACCTCTACAGTTCGAATGCGCGAAAGCAGGAATTCTCTCTTACGATGTCTCTCTACATTTTGAATGCGAATTATGTGTGTGTGTGCGTGTGCGTGCGTGTGCGTGCCTGCGGCAGGCGTGACTATCGTGTTCGCGTTTGCCCGCGAGAGACACATGCGGCCGGTGGTCGTCCGCACTCACGCACATACAAGCACATACGCGCATACACACACGGCATATATCTACGATACAGACACACGCGTGGTCACGGTAGACCAGCACTCTCACGCGATATCAAGGACTTGGCGGAGAATTGAGTTTGTTGAAATAACCTTTTCGCGAGAGCCACATTCGCGCAATGCAAACTGTTATCCGACAGGAATCCGAAAGCCCGCAATGGTTAACAGTAGTTTTTTAAGTAATACACGCAAACGAATTCTCATTTATCACGGACGCTCCGCTCACTTTCTATCCGATTTATCAACAAATCGATGCGATTAAATCACACTTGAGATAACCATATCTTTGTGCTTACACTGGGCCAACAGTTGGAATCATTCATGAGAAACTGAGTATAAATATAATGTAATAAACATATCGCTTTTTTACATCACTTTTACTAAAAAAATTATTTCTTTGCACATTTGATGGTTTTCTGGTCTTTAGTATGTATATTACTACACGATGAGTCTTTATAAATAATCTATTTATTAATTTAAAAGGAAAAAAAGAATAATCAGACTATCAAATTTAATCTAGAAATGATATAAATATATAATATATACTTATATTCTCCCCTTATAACATTTGAATAAAATATATAATAATACTACAACATTGCTTAAAAATTAAAATCACTTGTCATGCTCTCTATTGTAACATTTATTACCTAGGAGTCCCAACTTATATATAATGAACTATGGACTGAGTTTTTGAAAGCATGTCTACGTTTGTTTTAGCTTTTAGCATAGCAAATTGAAACACTTTAAGACTGAAAGCATAACTTAACGATCAATGACCCGGCTCACACGCGAAATTTATATGCGATAGGCATTCTATGTAGGATTGAATCATTCTTTTTGCAACAATTTTTTAATAACATTAAGTTACGTTCTCTTTTGATGATTAATAGAATAATATTTACTTAACTTGTGATAAAAACTCGAAAATCATATTCAAAGCTAAATCAATCACCGATGTCATCGTACACGATTCAACAAAGGAGGAAAAAAAAGTTGTTTATTATTATATTTTTGTTACCTTGTTTGGTTAAATTTTTCGTATTTTTTATGCTGTATTTAAAATAAGAAAGCAATATTAACATACATAAATATATATCTGCCATAAGATAATAAATAATGATAATAATCTTATAATCAAAAAATATAACTTGTTATTAAAGGCTATGTCTTCGCGTACCTGTATTCAAATTCGTGAAAATGAGGAAGTTTGTTTATTAGGTAATCTCTACGAATTTATTGTGTATATGTTGAATGAGTGATAACGACAGTTAATCAACTGTTAAATGCACTAACTATACTAACGCATTCTCGAGAGCAGGATTATTACATTAACGCTTTAATAAATACCATTATCGCCTCCAGTTTAGGCAGGCAAATTTCGGATAAATCCGAAATACCTGCGGAGCAAAAAAAATGCCTCGAGTTCCTGCCAGCTCTTTTTAGGTTTATTGCTAATTAATAATCGATATATCAATGCCGAGGCTATTCGAGAGCGACCAGAGCAACGTATTGCTACACAGAGAACCGGAACACCAGAAGTCACTTACATACATAGGCATATTGTAAAGCAGGAGCCGCCTGTTCTCACACAGACACACAGTTACATGTATAGCCTGCCGAGAGGCTACGTGTGTGAACGTCACGTCAAGTATTCAAAGATGAGAAAGATCGAAAACGAGAGAGACCAGCGTCCCAATTAATCTTCGTGACAGAAAAAAAAAAAAAAAAAAAACAGAGTACCTGCACCTCGATTAATTCCAAGCAGCCCTACGCACAAATTTTAATACATAATCGAGGTATTTACAGTTCAAAATTAAGATGGCGTAAACAAAGATGGCGCGCACAATCAAACAACCACCAGAGGGGAGGGAGGAAAAAATCGACTTGGCGAGGGGGGAAGGGTTGAGTTCACGTAGCTTCTCAGCTGCCTGTAAGATATCAAAGAGAAAGAGAAGAAGAATCACTCACCGTTGCCGCGTGTTGGCGAGGGCAGGCGTGCACGCATACACCCGTACGATGACCGGCGAGGCGCACCTCTCTCTCTCTCCCTCTCTTTCTCTCTCTCCCCCGCGGGGTCTATATCCCCGTGGCTGTTCCTCCCGTGTATCCTCTCTCACTCCCGTGTTAAGCGTATTAGATCCCCGGGATATCTCCTCTCGTTGCGTATAATCCAACCGTTCGTCGCCGCCGGCTGCGGCTCGTCGCTGCTCGCCGCGAGCTTCACCTCGCGACCCTGTTCTCACGCACGTACACACATACACACAGACGAGGCACTGCCGCCGCCGCCACCGCCGCCGCCGCCAAGGAACTTGTCCCGGACTCTCGTTGTTCTCGCACCGCGACGGATACACACCCCGATCGAACGCACGACCGCCAAATCGCAAAGCGCAATCCGCTGATTACACCATTACTCCGACTTTTTTTTTCGCCGTTTCCTCGCCCGTCGCTATCTCGCTCCTTCTCGCTCCTTCTCGCTCCTTCTCGCTCCGACTGGCTCCAGTCGGCGCTTCTCCCCTTAACCGCCGTGCTCTCCTTCTCTCGTACGCGCCCTTCGTTCGGTCCCACTCCTTCCGTTCTCGCCCGTGTGTGTGTTGTATGTCGCGCACCGATCCTCCGATGCCTCCGTTATGCCCGGTAAACACCGAAATGCACAAATACTCCGGCGACCGGCGCGACGAGAACGCAACGCGATGGTTCGAAACGACGAAACGCCGAAACGCCGAGAAAAGATATCGTCAGTATATTTTCCCCGCGGCTCTTCCGCGACCTCAAGTTCGTCCGTCTCGGCCGACCGTTACAAATGTCGCGGCGCACACGCACAAACGTACACAAACAAACAACGCCCGCGTCTCCTAAGCCCCGGCGAAGCACACACCTACGCCGCGCGGTGTATCATACTTTTTTTTATCTCTCTCTCTCTCTCTCTCTCTCTCTTTCTCTCTCTCTCTCTCTCTCTTTCTCACTTTCTATCTCTGTCTGCACTGCACTTTCTACGTGTTGCGTTCGCTCTCTCGATCTCACGCTCGAGTCGCCCGGGCTACGCTATCTTTCTCTCTCTCTCTCTCTCTCCCCCTTCCCCTCTATACCCTTCTCGCTCAGTTGCTCTTCGTAGAACCGACACTGCTACCAACCCGTCTCTCCTCCTCCACCAACCTCGTTCCCTCCGTCGACTCGCACTCACACGCGAAAAACGATGCCGAAGTGTATACGGCCAAACAGTCGCGCGAACGCAACGGGCTGCTCCTTCTTGCCCGCCGTCAACCGTCGGTGATGCCGTAGAGAGAAACACGAACACGCACACTCTTATTACACACACACATGCACACATACACACACACGCGGCGCACGTACGCACTTTTCTCCGTTTCGTCGGCTCGTTCGCTCGGTCGTTCTCCTCTCGCGCGCGGCGAGAGTGGGACACACCCGGGTGGTTTTCGTCTCGGTATCGTCCGCGCACAACGGTGGAGCGGACGCCCGCGATTGAGGCCGCCCCGGTGACACTGTTAGTTTTGCGCCGCGACGACTCGTCGCGCAGCACAGTGTAGACACGCGCGTCGAAAGCCCGCGGATTTCGCGGGGACGAGACACCGTCGCACCGCGAGACAAGACACGAAAAAAAGACGCACAGAGGAGACACCGCGCATCTCCCTTCTTGTCGCAAAGCACTCACGGCAGACCGCAACACATGGCTACGACGGGGCCACCGCCGAGATCGGGACTGCTCGGTGGCGCTCGGTCGCGCCCGCCAAGTCGAGCCAGGGCCGTCGCGCGTCGCGGCGGCGCCAGTTCCCTGGCGCCTGGCCGCTCGCGCTGCCCCACGAAAATTGCGTTATTGCGTTTTCGCAGTCGAAAAGAGATTGCAATTTTAGTTTTACTTTCAATCTCTTTCAACCTCAATTAAATCTTATAAATCTTATTACCTGTTTTTTGATACTTGAACAATCAAACACCTCTTTTAATATTACTTAATATGCAACTTCTATTTAGAAAACTTCTTTTAAACCTAAAAATAAAAAATTTTCCGACAACTGCCATTTACAGGCTCAACGGCTAGAAGCTCAATTCGTTAGATTAGAATCTATTATAAATCTCTAGAGTCTGTATATGTCCTAATTAAATATAAATGTGTAGAGTCTACATACATCTTAAAACGTTCATCGAGTAATTCGCATCTTGTTCATAATAACAGCTTTTCCTAATTATCTGAGGGAATAACAAATTAATACGTTCGAAAGAGCATACAAGATTCAATGGTTTTAGATGCGGATTTAATCTAAAATAAATATTATATTGGATACTTAGAGATTTTAAATAATTGCAACATACGTTTCTAAATTAGAATTCGTATTACATTACATGTTTCAACTTTCTTATCGAGCCCTCTTTGGATTTCAGAAATGTATAATGAGAGGTAATACAAAAATATCTTAGCAATGCTGAGTCACTTTCGAAGCAAAATTACAATTACTCACAAGACGGTTGAATGAATCATGTGGAGAGAACTTCTAGAATCTGTTAACAAATTTCTCCATAAGGATTATTGTACAAGCAAATTTATTATAAGCTTACAGAAAATAGTAATCTTTGTAAACTCAAAGTGACAAATTTATCTAGGGTAACACAGATAGCTTCCAGTTTCCAGAAGATTTGACTGATCATATTTCGAGTTGAATTATCTCGTAGAGTACACTGAGAGAGAGAGAGAGAGAGAGAGAGAGAGAGAGAGACAAAGATAGAATTAAAAATACAAACACGATTTTAAAATGTAAAAAAAAACAGTTTTTGTTTTGCTTATATTGAAAATCCCAAAATCTGGTCTCAGAACTTCTTAGTTTTTGAAAATTAACAATAAATATAAAATAATTTTTAGTTAGATTAATCACTTGGGAAGGCAATATATCTCAAGAGAAAAAAAGTTGAGTATTATAATGTTCTAAGATCAATTAACTTTTTTGCGATATATAACTGATATAAAACAATTCTCGGATAAATGCGTTATCATCATTTCAACAACGCGGACAATAACGTTGTGCTTGAGTTCGCATTAATCCGAACTATGTTAATACCGTCCATCGAACGAAAAAAAAGGCAATTAACCTTGAAATATTATAATACGTAACTTTTTTCCTCTTTTTTCTGAAACTTATATTCTGCCAAGTAATTAACCTTCGATGACATCAAAATTTTTATATTTATTTATATACATTTATTTTTTAATAAACTAACAAGTGCCTAAAGCCTGCGGCACGCGATGTATGTTTTTCTGCTGGTTGCTTGCGTTTTAGCAAATTACCCAACAATACTGCATTCTGTGTAATGCAATTGTACTAATTTACTAAAACGCAAGCAATTCAGCAGAAAAACAAGCATCGATCGTGTAGTGCCGCAGACTTAGTCTGAAATTTTTTATATGCAAAAACAATTATTTTACCACAAATCGCATTTCAAAAACGCGTTTTCAATACTCCTGATCCTCCCCTTGTAAGGAAAAAAGTATTTGATATTTGTAACATTATTATTTGTGACATATATAATAGCATAATAAAATAATTATGATTAGAATCTTCATCTTTATAATTATTATTACTATAATGTTAACTATATTTGTAGAATCCTATATATCAAAAAATATATTACTGGCACTAAAAATGAGTATTTACAATCGTTTTCAATGCCAACTTATCTACTATTACAATTTTATTAATTAATTACAATTTTAGAATTGTAATTGTTTTAATTAAATTTTAATTAAATGCAATTTAGAGATACCAATTTAGAGATTTATTTGTATATTAATATATTAATTGGATAATTGATAGGTCATCAAAAGTTGTTTACTTAAATGTATATATTAGATATGTATTATCTGATTAAGTCAATACTGAAAAAAGATAAATTTCTTTTATGACACTGGTGATTAAACTCGTTGCTATTTGCTTACGATGATAATCTGTTCTAAAGAATTATCGAGTCTTAAAGTAAGAACTCTGCGTAGTTCCTAATCGTTAACGTCATCGATAGATATAAACGACTTATTGAAAGAAACAGACGTCAATGATGAACAACATATTTCTTAACATATAAACCAATGAATATACATTAGCGATAATGTATGTATAGAAGCAATTAAGATATTAATCAATTATATTGAAAATCCTATTTTATTATTAAATAATAATTAGTTTTTATTATAGCATTTTTCGTTTAATAACATGAGCAGATATTTTTTTACTATTCCAAATAATTTTAGTATATAATTTAATAATAATTTTCATATATATAGTGTACTATCTTTTAATTAAACAAAGGTACAAAGGCACATTAATTTTTATATTTATTTTTTATTTTATATTTTTTTAACAAGTTAAGAGATGTCTAAACTGGAACTTGACATTCTTAATATGATTACAAACGACTATCTCTTACAAGTTACATTTCAAAAACGTGTTTCCACTTCCCTCCCCTTATGAGAGAAAAATGTTTGGTATTTAAAACCAAAAAGAGTAGAAACCAAACGAATGAGAGTACAGCGCAATTATCAATAGGCAAAGTAATAAAGTAAAAAAATTTTACTCCTCTATTCCACAGTTTACGAAATTTATGTTCGTAAACTATGGAATAAAGGAGTAGCATTTTTTTACTTTATCACTTTGCGTATTGATAACTGCTCTGTATTCTCATTCGTCCTGTTGGTTTCTACTTTTGTTTGTAATATCGAGAGTTCGTAACGAGATTATTTTTGGAGTGGTTTGTTTGGTATTTGTGATACTATAAATCGCGTAACAGGATAATTATAATTAGAAGTCATTTAATCACTAGATAAGGCAAAGTTTAATGTGCAAATATTTAACGCAAAAAAAGCCTTATTTGCTAATTAAGAAAAGGTGGCAGATGTGCAAACGAGGACGAATTTGGTCGGACGGGAAACCGGGGGAGCTCGGATGTCAATTTCCGGCGTTGGCCAGCTAAGGGGAAGACTGGCGTTTCACACAGACCGACCTCCCCGTCATCTTCTCTTCGAAGGCCGTACGGCGAGCGTA